ACTAATTCAAAGAAAAATGTTTTTCTACCACAGAGCTTTAATTTTTCTATTCCATTACTTTCTACTTTTTCTTTTGTTTAATGCTCATTTTTAACAATTTAATGCACCTGCCATTTATTTTAAAATAAAGTAAGATGGAAACATTTTTCCACAATTGTTCCAAACACACTTATATAATTCTGTTTTAATGTTTTTTTATTATGTTATCATACAATAAAAATTGGTATATAGTTAATGATATTTCAGGTCTCTACCTCCTATTTCACTCAATGTCTAAAATGTTGCACAAACTGTAGTATTTTATGTATTGATACTAAATATGTTTTAATGTTTGATGGAGCAGGTCACTTTTTTATTATTTAACAATACTACATATTTTCTTCTAATAAACATTTTTCCAGTTTACTTTTTATGAAAAATTATATTACCATGTTCAAATTTTGATGTAATTATTTAAATTGGAATGTTTTATATACATTAGTTAAAATTTGCATTTTTGAAAATATAAAATAGTCCCTTGCAAGAATATAAGCTCTATATCTCTAATTATTCAAATTTTCACTTAAATCTTCCAATGATAGGATTATGCAGTTTCCATATAAAGTCTCACCATATATTAAAATTATTCCTAAATATTTCCTGTATTTGTTACTCTGATGAATCTCTCCATCTTTAAAATTATATTTTCTTGCTTTGTTAATTACTGGATTCTAGAAATATAAGAAAATTTATATATTTACATTATGATTAGATATGTATTAGTTTATGATGGATTTATATAGACACATATGTACATATATATAAATACACTCTTGATCAATACTTACTTCTCATTTATTTGTCTTTATATTTGCATTCTCAAGAAATCTAAGTGTTTTATTAAGAATACAGAAGTATTATTCCTGACTTTAAAGTTAATCCATTCCCTTTTTAAGACTCTGAAAACAGCTATTTCCCTATTCTCTTAAAAATACATACACATGACTCTGAAAACTATAAAACATTGATGAAAGACAATGAAGATGATACAAACAAATGGAAAGCCTATTCCATGCCCATGAAATGAAAAAATTAACATTATTAAAATATCCATACTACCGAAAGTGATCCTCAGATTCAGTGCAATGCCTATCAAAATACCAGTGACAATTTTCAAAGAACTAGAAAAAAATAATACTAAAATTTGTATGGGACCAAATAACCCAAGCAGTCTTGAAAAAGAAGAATGAAGCTGGAGGTATCACAATCCCAGATTTCAAGATATACTCCAAGCTGTGGTAATCAAAACAGCATGGTACTGGCACAAAAATAGACACAGAGATCAATAGAACAGAAGAGAGAGCTCAGAAACCCACACTTATGTGGTCAATTAATCTACAACAAAGGAGGCAAGAATATGCACTGGGAAAAAGACAGCTCTTCAATAAATGGTGCTGGGAATACTGGATAGCAAAAAATGAAGCTGAATCATTTTCTTACACCATACAAAAAAAAAAAACACACAACCTCAAAATGGATTAAAGACCTAACTGTGAAACCTAAAACCATAAAACTCCTGGAAGAAAACATGGGAAATAATTTCTTTGGCATGAGCTCTAGAACCATTTTTCTAGATATATCTCCTCAGGCAAGGGAAACATAAACAAAAATAAACTATTAGGATTACAACAAAATAAAAAGCTTTCACACGGAGAAGAAAAACAAATCAACAAAACAAAAAGGCAACCTACTGAATGGAAGAAGATATTTGCAAATGATATATCCAATAAGAAGTTAATATCCAAAATATATAAAGAACTTATATAACCCAACACCAAATAATAATAACAATAATAATAATAATCTGATTAAAAATGGGCAGAGGACATGAAGAGACATTTTTCCAAAGAAGACATACAAATGGCAAACAGGAACATGAAAAGATGCTCAATATCACTCATCATCAGGGAAATACAAATCAAAACCACAATGAGATATCACCTTACACCTGTCAGAATGGCTAGAATAAAAAGACAAGTAACAAGTGCAGGTGAAGATGCAGAGAAAAGAAAACCCTCATGCACTGCTGGTGGGAATGTAAATTGATGCAACCATTGTGGAAAACAGTATGGAGATTTCTCAAAAACAAAAAATTTTAAATAGAAATATCATATGATCTAGTAACTGGACCACTGGATGTTTACCCAAAGAAAACAAAAACACTAATTTGAAAAGATATATGCATCCCTATGTTCATTGCAACATTTACAATAGCCAAGATATGGAAACAATCCAAATGTCCATTAAAAGATGAATGGACAGGGGCACCTAGGTGGCTCAGTTACTTAAATGTCTGACTCTTGATTTTGGCTCAGGTCATGATCTCAGGGTCATGAGATCAAGCCCTGGGTCAGGCTCCATGCTCGGTATGGAGCCTGCTTGAGATTCTCTCTCTCCCTATCCTTCTGACCCTCTCTCCCCGCTTGAGCTCTCTCTCTCTCTAAAAAAAAAAAAAAAAAATGTATGGACAAAGAAAGATATGGTAGATATATAGATATACATACATATACACACACTAGAATGTTACTCAGCCATAAAAAAAAATAAGATCTTTCCATTTGCAAGATAGACCTAGAGTATATTATGCTAAGTGAAATAAGTCAGAGAAAGATAAAAACCATGTGATTTCACTTATATGTGGAATATAAAAAACAAAGCAAATGAATAAACAAACAAAAAGCAGAAATAGATCTATAAATACAGAAACAAGATGATGGTTGCCAGAGAAGGGGATGTAGGGATGGGCAAAAATGGGTAAAGTAGAGTGGAAGATATTGGCTTCCTGTTACGTAATGGATGAGTCATGGGGATAAAAGGTACAGGATAGGGAATATAGTCGATGGTATTGTAACAGCATCATATGGTGACAGATATGATGTTCAGTTTTTAAAAATGCACACACCTGTACACTCGGACATATATATGCACATAGAGTGTACAGAAGTGTTGCTATTGATTGTAATACTGGTTTTCTATTCAGCAAGGGAGAACTCTTTTATTTTATATTGTAAAATGCATCCATTAGGGTCTGATTTTAAATTGTAGTAAATACTATTTAGACATCTATTAAATCGTTACATACCTTATTTACCTTGTTGACGTGGTATTATGTTAAATTTTCTTAGATTTCAGAGAGGAAAAAATCTCCCACTTGTTAATGCTTTGGTAGAGCAACAGAATTCAAATTCTTAGTACTTTATATAACTGTCAATCTATCTTTATCAGTGAGATGAGTGAGTTGTTAATTTTGTCATTAAATGGGATACGAAGTATTGATGCAGGGTGAGAAACTAGACACTTCAAAAAAGTTATTTTAAAGAAAGACAAGAAATTATCCCAAAAGGCAAACATCACACATAGGCATTTTCCTAGGGCAAGCCCAATGAAAAAATGGTCACATTATAGTTGTGTTAAATTTTAACAAAGGATAAATATAACCATCAGGGGTATTTTCAAGTAACTGTCTCTTAACTGCTGACAATGAACAACAGACAGTAAGTCCTTTAAAAGCAGAGTGCTCTTTCACATGTTGTTGTAAATAAACAGAAGAATGTTTTTGCAATCTGGTATTTTATTTATGATTTTATTTTATTTTAATTCTTTTCCTACTTGGGGAACTACTTGAAGTAGCTCATTCTTTATATAATAAATTATTGGTTCTTATCTGCATAAAAAATTGAATTATGGATTTACTCTCTAACTATTCTAAGACATAGAAAGAAAAATATTCTGGATTTCCCTAAAATGTGTGACATGCCTCTGAACCTTGCAAGGAAAGCACTCCTCATTTTGTCAATGTCTTAAAATCCTCTTTCACCCTTGAAACGTTTTTAATATATAATCTTTCTTGATTTACCTGCAATCTTGCAGGGAGGGAGTGTTCGCCTCCCCACTCAACTATATCTTCCTCTCTGGTAGATGTAATGGAAATACACAGGCTTAAGAGCTGAAGAAAAAACAACAGACATTCAAATCCTAAATCTGTTACTTACTAACCATGAGAGACTGAATGATTCACTGAAGGATTTCATTTTCTCTTTTGCTAACTGGATACTGTCCCTTCCCTCCCAGGGTTGGTTTGAGTCTTTTGTGAAAGAATGTGTGTTAAATCTCAACAAAACTAGTTTATCTTCACTGTATTCTAACACTTCTAATGTTTGTATTTATATTCATCATAAAATTCTTCTCCTGTTACAATGTTTTGTCAGTCTACTTGAGGTCAAGGACTATGTTTTATTCATCCTTGTACCTCGTGTTTGACTCAGTGAGTCTGGGAAATCAATTACTGTGCTCCAACCGCTGGGAATCAGAAAGACCAGAAAGTGCCTGCCCAGTTAATTCTTAAAACTCGTTTATGTATTTGTCGAGAGGGCCTCCTGTGGTGCTGGTATCTACTGTGTATTACTTCGAATACACAGGCATTAGTCCCTCCCTAAGTGCTTGTTGAGAATGTCTGCAAGAAAATAAATTGATTTTGTTGCTTCATTCTACTTTGTAAAATATATAATGGGTATTTTCTATGACCCAATTATACAAAGTTTTTATTCCTGTGTGTCTGATGTCTAGTTAGTGTCACTGTCGGTCTGGACGGTGTGGCTCTCAACACTGTGACTTTTGAGAAAGCTGTGGGAGCCACCATCATGGGCAAATCCACGTGGAGCTGTGATACAGAGGTGAAAAGTTATAAATTGAGTCATTTCCTCTGTAGAAAAGGGGGCACTTGGAATATACTCTGGGGGCATAGATCCATAGCAGGGGGATCACCTGCACAGTCCGGGCTGCAGCTGTCCCGGAAGCTTTCCGCTCTGGGACAGTCCCAAGATTTCTAGGAAGCAATATTTCCGTCTTGGTCCCTCTGCTACTTCCAGTCTTTTGTCATGTATCACAACCACAAACAAAATGGCTCGAAGACTTTGAAATGCCTAATAAGAGCTAAGCCAGGTTAAAAGTATTTTCCCTGAATATTTACATGGCAGGGGAATTACCATGATCAGGAAAGTGGTTTTCCCAGGGCGAGGCTCATCTATTGCACTCTGAATGTGTTGACCTCTGTGATTTCCCCAAACGTAAGAAACTTGACCAAGTGATTTGTGGTAGCAGGAGACTGCAATCACACTTCCCCCTGAAAACAACAACAAAAAGCATTTCTTTGAGGCAGATACAGACAAACATTTCTTGGGCCTTATTTCAAAGCTGACAAGATTGGGTTGAAAGGAAAGCAATAACTGGGTACTGTAGGTAAGGATTCATGCCAAGTCATTAGGAGAAATGAACAATTTCCACAGAGCACTAAACAATCCCCTGTTGGATTAAGATGGCAATACTACGGAGAAGGGAAAGCGTAAGTAGTGACTCACGTAATGCTCATACTATTTTGACTTGTCCCAGCTGTTACTACTAGTGTTTCTAGTGGATAATCAAAGCATCAAGACATGAAAACACACTCATAATTGTGTAGAAAATGGAGCTCTGCCTCTGTAATTTTCTGCCCACCTTAGAGTCATTCTGTTGTTAGCCACGTCACTTAAATTATTTCTGTTTGTTTTGTCCATAGCCTGTAGCAACCATACCATGGTTTTATCCCACAAATAACAATCCTTCTAAATGCCCAGAAGCTATATGGCATTAAGACCATACAAGTCCATTATAAAAGGGCCAGTATATTCTATGTCTCTGTTTCTCTCTCTCTCTCTCTCTCTCTCTCTCACACACACACACACACACACTCTTTCCTTTACATATACGCATGTTTTTCCTTTTTTTCTTCTTAGGAAAAAAATGACAGGTATTAAACAAGGATTAACTTACATTTTTTTTTTTTTGAAAAGGGCAATGGAATCTATTCACAAGTCTGAAATGCATTTTGATTATACCTAGAATTGTTTACACTATTTCCAAGAGGATATTGTCCCAAGAGCACATTCTGTAAGAGCATGGAATTTTTATTATTCTTTTTAAAATATTCTATCAAATAATTTCCTGTCAAATTATGTTAAATGTTTTATTTATAAATATTACTTTGTAGCATAATTGTTTTGTAAGTACACCATTTAATATTCCACTATGTAAAGGAAATAATGATTTTACTTACCAAAATTAATGCTAACCAAATTAATTATGTAGTCCCTAATTATGCTTTAAAATATTGGTATCAATCCCGCTAGAAAATACAAAGACATTTTCTGCTTTTCATAAATTCGTCAATTAATGTTAAGTAATTGTCAGTAATATATTTCTTTGAATTTCAAATAAGCATTTATCTACTCAGTGCACTAGTTCAGGAAAAGTCAGTTAAAAGACAGTCCTGTGAGGCTAAAGTAGAAAACTGTATAAATCAATATCTATATCTTGAAATGGAAAATATGAATTAAATTTTACAAAGTAGGGACTCACAAATTGGAAAGAATGTCTATCATAAGAAGTAATCTATTACAAACTAATCTGGACCAACCAGATGCTATCTCTAATAGTACAGAATAATCAGAAGAATTTAATCATTTTCCTATGAACAATTATACAATTAATTGCCTCTTCTGACCTTTCAGTTAAGGTTAGACTCTCATTGATGAAATCTTCATAAAACAATGCCAATAAAAACCATATTTACACAGGGAGCTCTGAAAGAGATCCCAGTAGTCACAGCTGAAACCATTTGGGTAAAAATAAATAATAATATTGGGTTTTAACAAAGAATGAGATAATTATCCTTGAGTCTGTATTGATTTTATTTTTTTATTTTCATACTTAGAATTTTTATGCAATAGTATTGACTTTTTCTCTTGATATACAGTTCAGTAAATTTTAACATATGTATGGATTTGTGTAACCACCACCACAATCAAGATACAGAACAGTTCCTTCACACCACAGAACTCTCTTGTGCTAGCCTTTTATGGTCACTTCTTCCCCTGACCCTACATCCATCAATCACTCACCTGTTCTATATAGGTGGTTTTTTGTTTGTTTTCTTTTCAAATGTCATACAAATGGAATCACACAGTATATAACCTTCTAAAACTGGCTTTTCTCACTCTGCCTAATACCTTGTATATATCAACAGTTTGCTCTTTTTTGTTGCTGATTAGTATCCCATTGTATAGATATGTACGGTTTATTTATCCATTCACACACTGAAGGACATTTGGGTTCATTCCACCGGTTGTTTTGTTTTGTTTTGTTTTGCAAATATGAATAGAGCTGCTATAAACATTTTTGTAGAGATACTTGTGTAAACATTGGTTTTCAAACCTCAAGGCTAAATACCCAGGAGTGGGACTGCTGGGTCATATGGTAAGTCTTTGTGTAACTTTATAAAAAACTGCCAAAATGTTTTCAGAGTGGCTGGCTATACCATTTTGCACTCCCACCAACAATTTATGATCACTTTGTCTGCATGCTTGCCAGCCCTTAATATAGTATTTTTTTTATTTAGTCATTCAAATATATGTGTGTAGTGGCATCTTATGATTTTAACTTGCATTTCCCTAAAGGCTAACAAGGTCACACATATTCTCATGTACCTTTTGGCCAACTGTATCTTTTTGTCTGTTCAAATCATTTGACCAATTTTAAATGTACCGTTTGTTTTCTGATTGTGGAATTTTAAGAGTTCTTCATATATTTTAAATACATTTCATTTGTGGGATATATAATTTGCAAATATTTTTACCCAGTCTAAAGTTTGTTTTCATTTTCTTAAAGTCTCTTTAATAGAGCAAGTTTTTAAATTTTGATAAAGGGCAATTTATCTTTTCTTGCTCTTTAATGGATCATGCTTTCAGTGCCATATTTAAGACTCCTCTGTCTACCACCTGGCCACATAGATTTCCTCTTACATTTTCCTCTAAAAGTTTTATAGTTTTATGTTTTACATGTAGAGCTATGATCCACTTTGAGTGAATTTTTGTATGCGAGGTATGAGGTTTAGGCTGAACTTTTTTTTTTTCTGTTCCTTTCATCCAATGTCATGCTGTCTTGATCACTGTAGCTTTATATTAAGTCTTAAATCAAGGAATATAATTCCTTCAAATCTACTTTTATAAGACTGATATAATAAATATTTGAATAAATATATGCAGAAGTACATTTTTGTTACAGTAGTACTGGAAATAATATAGAAGGAATGAGGAAAATCATAAAATCACCACTAGATCACCACAGTAATAACTGCTATAGGCAATATCCACTGATGAGTACTAAAATTTTCAGTCGGCAAAACATTAAGGAGGACCAGGAAAGTTGCACGGCCTCTAGGTATCTTCCCAAAATATTTATGTTACTGTAATGGTTTTAATACATATTTCCAAATTCTTTGTTACTCCTCCCTCAGGAGGTGGAGCTTAATTCTCCTCCTCTGGAGTATGAGCTAGATTTAGCGACTCACTTATAACAAATAGAATATGCAAAGGTAAAAATCATAATTTATGCTGGAGAAACCTGGGGGACAGCACTTTAACCAAGTGATCGTGGTTAACATCACCAGTAATAAATCATGCTGATATTGGGTGCTTTGATATGCTGCAGTGAAAAGGACACATCACATTTGTGGTATACTTTCCAATAATGCATAACCTCAATCTAATCATGAGAAAACATCAGACAAACCCAAATGGCTATAAAATACTGACCAGTACTCTTCAAAAGTGTCAAGGTCATGGAAGACAAGAAAAGACTGAGGGACTGTCACAAACTAGACAGGACTATAGAGATGTGAAGACTAAATGCAACATGATATTCTGCATTAAATGCCGGGAATATAAAACCAGTGAAAGAAACTGGTAAAACACACACACACACATAAACTCTATAGATTGGTTAATTTCATTGTATCAATGTTAATTTCTTAGTTTTGCTAAATATACCATGGTTATGTAAGTTGTTAAGATTTGGGGATGATTTGCAAAGGGTATAGTGAATTCTCAGGGCTTCTTTGCAGCTCTTCTATAAATCTAAATTATTTCAAGACAAAAAGTCAAAAAAAAAAAGTTTCCCTTTGCAGTTATAAATACCAAAGCATTAACAACCAAAATATTAACACTATTTTTGTTTATAACCTCTATTAAAGGAATTGATCATAATCATAAAAGAATCTTTCACTCACAGAAAACTTTGTTTTCATTAAGTTAGTAACAACCAGTAGTGAATAAGAAGTCCATACAGAACATATACTGAGTATATGTTCTGCTGTTAGAAACTGTATTGTATACTCTTGAAAGGTATGTCTATTGCTTTTGCCAATATTTTTTCAGTGTTTCCTTCCTTTGATAAAGATACTTTCAGGGAACCTCTCTTCCCCGCTCTCCGTTCATTTGGTTTGGGATGGGGCTGTTTAGGGTAGGTGTAGAGTTCAAGACTGGACCTTTAAGTATTCTGTAAGCCTGGTGCTAGTGATGGATTCCAGGATGAGCATTTTGCTTTTGGTGGTTCAGTCAGGGCTAATCCTGGGACAGCTTTTGAGTGCCTGGAAAACAACTATTTCTCATTGCACTGAACTGTTTTGGTTAATATAATCTTAATCATGAAGCTATTGGAAGCCCCAAGATGGAGATGAAATCAACACAAAGGAAAACAGAGTCAATGAGGGAAGGAGAAAGAAAGAGAAACACCTGATCTTGATGACATTATTTAAGCTAATTTAGTTATGTCTAACAACTGTTATTCTGGAAAACCGAACCCAGATTCTTCATTTTTATGAGACAATAAGTTCCTTAATTCATACTGTGTAATTTGGGAGGGGGTATTAGAATTAGGTCATTTGCATTTTGCATCAGAAAAAGTCCTTCAAAATTATTGATGTATATGTTATCTAAGATAAAGCTGAGGTACTTATTTGTGATCTAAGATGAAGCAATAGTGATTTCTTTTGAACCTTATTGATTAATCCCATACCCATCCATCTTTTCAGTTGCACGCAATACAGTAGACATTAGGAGAGAGCCCGAGACACATATCCTGGTAAAGAACAATGCTACCAATCAATGCCATAAAATTATCAGATAACTATGTGTGTAATATTCAATAACTAGAGAGAATATATTTAAGTGCATCTAGAAATAAGCCCCCAAAGACTTAGGGAGTTCAAAGTCAAGAATCATAACAATCGCTATAGGATATAAATAAACTGTG